CGGGTCAGTGCGCCATAACCCCCCAGGCCAACATGCCTGTAACCCTTCCCTAGGATCAATCGGGATCACCAGTGGGACCTCTGACAGCTACGTGGCTCCCCGGTAGGCACCGAAAGGTGCACTGGGATGCTGCGAAGAGGGTACTGCGCTACTTGTGCAGTACGTCAGGCATGGGGCTAGTGCTTGGAGGACGGGGTCCAGTTGTCCTCACCGGTCACGCAGACGCTTCCTGGGTTGACGACTCAGCTACGCAGCGGTCGTCACACTGTTACAACTTCAGCCTCGGTTCCGGCTCTGTTTCGTGGCGTTCTACCCGCTCGTCTTCGGTTCTCAGTTCCAGTTTGTGAGGCTGAGATCTACGCCGGGACCATGGCTGCACAGGAGCTACACTGGCTCACCTACCTGCTGACGGACTTGGGAGAGCAGCCTCGTTCGCCTCCAGTTCTGTACGTAGACAACAAGGCCATGATTGCCTTGTGTCAGGAGCAAAGACTGGAGCACAGAACGAAGCACATCGCTCTGCGATACTTCCTTGCTCGAGTGGCCTGCTTCGTCTTGCGTACGTGGCCACTAGGGCCAACACTGCTGATGTATTCACCAAGGCACTTCCGCCTGGTGATCATCAGCGCTTCTCTACTGTGTTAGGCCTTGTTGCCTACTTTGCCTCACTTGCTTACTGCTTGACTCTGCTTGTACTATGATCTATATATATACCTGCATGCTTGCACTTTCTAGGATATGATCACTGTATTGTTTGTTCTCTTTATATCACTCTGCATGTGAACTGGCCTTGTGGCCCTTTGCTTGTGCTCGGACTGTGTGGTGACCTTCAGCTGCTCGGAATATAGTTTGTATTTTCGCGTCGGTGAACAATTGTCAGAGGTCCACTGGAGATCACCGATTGATCCTAGGGAAGGGTTACAGGCTCGTTGTCCTGGGGGGTTATGGGCGCACTGACCCGCTACTTAACAAGCCCTTTTATCCCAGTGGTCTAGTGACTGGGATTCTGACATGATATCAGAGCGAAGGTCTCGGGTTCGAATCCCAGTGTGTGCACTTCGGGCATCCCAGTGCGGGGGGGTGTCAGATGTCCACTGGAGATCCCCGATTGATCCTAGGGAAAAGGTTACAGGCTCGTTGTCCTTATGAGTTATGGGCGCACTGACCCGCTACTTAACAAGCCCTTTTATCCCAGTGGTCTAGTGGCTGGGATTCTGACAAACATATTAACAGTTACGGGCAAAGGCCAAGGCAAAACTAGAAATATGTGTTTTGGAGGAGAGTGTACTCGAGTTTGAACAAAACTAAGTAACAATGTCGGCCTACTTCTAAGTTGTACCAGCGAACGTGTAGTCTACATTACGACAATGATCCTGCCACCACACACAAGCTGAACTTGTGCAGTTCAATAAGTAGGTAGAAGGATGTGACGGGTAGCGGAACATGTAGAGGGGAGGGGTGGAGGGTGGGGGAGGGGGGATGGGGGGGGTTTTATAATCATTATTTATATACACCCTATTTTCTGCTACAATGAACCGCGTAAGAACGATACTGTTTCTTGGCAGTATTTCGGAATTTTGCCGATACAGAAACCAGTGAACTGTCCCTAGCATGCTGGTGTTATATGGGGAGGTTCCAGAATGCAGTTGTCATAGATATACTAGCAGCTTTTCCAAGATGTCTAGGAACCTTTCTAAAACGTAACCCATCACACTGGATCGCGCTGGTTCAAAGTTCACTATAACGCGGGTGATTGTGCGCTTCTGTACGGGATGGGTTTCTAGTAACGGGGTATCCAGTATACCGGAATCCACAATAGCGAAAAACATGTTGTAGAGGGGAAGGGCCAAATAGAGCCTAAAACGATTAAGGGGAAGTGTGCAAAGAAACCCTTCACCGTCACGGGTGCCAGCGAACCAATAACTTTGGTCGAGGTGCTTTGAACGTAACTCATAATGTTAAGGGTATTAAGGGCGAATGCCTTTGAATCGACAGTCTTGCAGGGGGACCAATTTTGGCCGGTTACTTTGATGAGTCATACAGCAAAATTCTCTATGTAAACGGTCGCATGTTACGAAATGGGCAGTTTGTAACGTCTTGAATTCAGGTCTTAAATTTAGAGGAACAACCTCATGGAAATTTTGTTGCAGGGAGGTCAGAATGTATACCCCGGAAAACGAGTTTTTTTCAGAAAAACTACCCGAGTTTCATCATCCACGGCTGTCGCCGAATCATGATGTGCTGGCACCGACATTCGATGCTCCCACTCAGCGCACCAGAAAATGCAGTGTGCACAGTGTGTTGTGCTGCTGATCTGACACCAGCTGCTGTGGTAATTTGGGAATGCCAGCTGCAGTTATGCGCGAACCTCCCCCGACCAGAAACAGCTGTTGCTGTGGAAGCTCTGCCTCGGTTTCGGGCAGGTCGTTTGAACGTTTGGACTGCCCATTAACTACTCTGCTATCCCCGATGAGTGTCATCCAAAGTGTTATGGCTTGGCGCGACCAAACAGATACTGGTGTGGTGAGTGCCGGAAAAACCAGTGACCCAGCTCCATACTTGGGGTTCAGTACCGAACTCCCCCACCCCAACCGGTATTTTCAGAAGCATGCTTTATTGCCTCGGGTACTGAAGGATTAGAATTGCTCTCCTAAACTCCACCTTCCTTGTCCAGCCGACAAAAAAAGAGCAATTCCCAAGGCAGCCAATCCACCCAAGCCAGTCATCCTAATTCCACTCGCCCTCTTCCCCTACCCTCCCCAACCGCTCTTGACTTCCCCCCACTGCCGCGGACCGCTGACTCTCCCCCAGGCAGCCCTGCCCCTCACTCTGACACCACACCAGCTTCATTTCACAACCTCTTGCGGGACTCCAGAAACGACGATGTGCTGTCATGTTTAGGGCGCTCCCCTGAACCTCGTCTACAGTTCATGAATTGTAGATATGTTTGGGCTGGTAAACCGTTACGAATTGCACGTTATCGTGCTTGACCGCTTGAACTGAACATAAAAGTAGGGTTACACAATGCTGCCATTGTAGGAAGAGACCTATTTTCTATTCCACCCTTTTCAAGTGCACATATTTCTCATCCTGCTTGCTAAGATCAACCTCCCCCGCATAGTGAAGCTTGTGAGGGCGAGTGGGTTTACCACGCCACGGATTCTCCAAGCAACCGTCCGTTTGCACAAGGTCCTCTAAAAGCTTACACTAGAAGCTTTGGTGGAAGCAGCCAAGGTCCTCAAAAAGCTTACACTAGAAGCTTTGGTGGAAGCAGCCATAGCGTTTCTTTTTCATAGACTGTACGCTTGTCGCGTTCTGGCACACCGAAGAGCTGGGAATGTGAAAACAGCTGACTGACACACAGCGTGATACACTGTTCAAGTTCTGTGCCATCCATGGAATGATGCGGGTGTTTCATTCGCCACAAGCTCCTACTGTACTTCTCTAAGATACGAGGAAATGACAGAGCGCCGTGTTTTCTAGTTTCTGATTCCTATGAGCAGTGGTTTTGACAGCGCATTGCTTTGCGCTCGCGTCCAATACCTTGGGGCATAGTATTTCTCTGTTTCTCCTTTTGAGTCCACAAATACAGATTTGTTTGAAGTTACGGGATATTCCAAATTTATTCGTCGGGTCCATAGCAAACGCGCAGCTCGGGACCAAAAAAAAAAAAGACCTTCATGGATGGTATGCCACGTAGAGGGCATCAACCCTAAACACCATGAGGCAAGGAGTTTAGGGTTGATGCCTCCCAAATGGCTTGTCATCCGAGTGGGTTTTAGTTTTTCCAGTGGCCTCATACTGAAACCAGGTAGACTTAGTATATCCCTTCTATGCGTTTGGTCACGAGAAATGGGAGATAGCAACATAAACTGCCCGCGGGAATTGGGCGCTAGCACGGAGAGAGTCGCTGTCAAAGCCACTGCCGTAAGGAATCGAGAACGCGCAAACACGGTGGTCCGTCATTTCCTCCTAAGATACACTACCAGAGTCGCTGCGTTTTGCCTCCCTAGTCGCTCCCCTCGCTCATTCAGCCTCACTTCCCACGCGTCGGACGCCTCGAAAGGGCCGCGTCCATAGGAATAGCCAGAAAGATAGCCTTCGAAAGCCAAGTCTCCCGCTGCCTGATTTAGCTAAGCAAAGTCATTCATGTCGGCACTTCTGGTGCATACTAGCGCGTTCAGACTCTGTCCACGCACTCGTTAATGCGACAATATTTGAGTTGGCGTTTCAGTCCGTACAGACCCAGTTCTCCCAGTTTTGAGGAGCCGAGCTTCTAGTTTTTAAACGACGTATCATACTCGTTTGGTGTGTTTAACCCAGATTTAGAACTGTAACTCTGCATTTGTCTCAGCGTCAGTGTTCTCGGTTTGATATAGGGTGGGAGAATGACGGCAGAGCGCGGGAGTATGTCGAGCAGAAAAAGGATAACGAGAATGAGAACAGACGCACAGCTAGACAGATGGTTAAACGGACGGCCACCCAGACGGCTAAGCGGTCGGCTAAACGGACAGCAATTAACGATGGTCGCAGTGCTGGCGATAGTTGCGTGCTTGCCGGCGATGCAGCTCACCATCGTATCAGCGGCTACTAGCGTCGCCGTGCACTCGTCGCAGAGTGAGTTCGGCTGGTTTGATTCGGATTCGCGACTTAGGAACACTTTCGAGCCGCCTCAAAACTCGCGGCATAGAAACTTATTCCAGTGAACTTGTTTCATGATTAAGTCGGACCTCATGGCGTCGCCGCTTTTGTCGCAAACTACAATCAGAAGCTGGGTCGTGTCGCAAACCATCAGTAAGGATCATGGTTCGTCGCCGAAGCGCCGAAATGACCGACGTCTTGAACTTCAATCAGAAGCTGGGTCGTGACGGAATTGCAAAAGATATAACAATATTGACCTTTGACGTTTTGACAGAATGCGCTGCGACAAGGCTGTATGCTATGCGAAATCGCAAACTCGCGAATATTAGGAGATCCCTGTGCCGAGTCTCGGAGCGGCCATGAGCTACTGCCGTCGCAACCGTCGCACCCGTCGCAAACTGTACCCTCCCTCGTTTCCCGTTCCTTCCGCCTCCCTCCACCACCTTTCCCCCACTTCTCCTCCCCCCCCCCTCCCCCCCCCTTCGCTCCCATCTCTCCCCTCCCTCTCCTCCCCTCTCCTCCCCCTGTTTCCCCCCCCTCCTCCTTCCCCCTTCTCCCCCCACTTCGCCTACAGCGGCCGCGATGGAAGCGATAGCTGCCACGTGGCCAACCGCCACGGCCTCGTGGGTGTCCGGGGAGTTGTGTGACACGTGGCTGGGAGTGGTGTGCGACGGCGACGGCTACGTGACGCAGCTGTGAGTCGCACACTGTTAGACATGTGAGTCGGGGTGAGGTGAGCCCCGTCAGCTACATGACGCAGCTGTGAGTCGCACGGGATTCGCCAGGTGGTAGTTGGGGTTAGGCGAGCGGTTCTCGAGGCACCTAAAGAATCCTCGTGGGTGTCTGGGGAGATTTGTGACACGTGTCTGGGAGTGGTGTGCGACGTCGACGGTTATGTGACGCAGCTGTGAGTCGCACGGGCTGTAAGGGTGAGCGGATGAGGGGAAGGGGTGAGCGGTTGAGGGGAAAGGGTGAGCGGTTGAGGGGAAAGGGTGAGCGGTTGAGGGGAAGGGGCGAGCTAGGTAATGGTGGTGATACAACGAGCGGAATAAGGGTAGACAGGGGTGAGAAAATGAAAGGGGTTAGGGATAAGGGTGCAGACGAATGGGAAGGGATGGGAAGGGGTGGTAGCCGCTTGATACAGCCCCCGCTCCGTTCTCTCTGCATCATTCAGCCAGCCGAAAAGGAAAGTTGGTCATCCAATTTAATCTACATTTCCCCCTGAACCTCAACGTTATTGATTCTTTTCTTTGGTCGGTCCCCGCTAGAGTAGTCTTTCAAGCGTGGCATGACTCCCCCTCCCCTTTCCATTCTTCCCCCCTCTTCCCCATCCCCTCCAACCCCCCGTTCTCCCCTCAGTGACCTCAGCGATCAAGATTTGGAGGGAACGATTCCCACCGCTTCGATTGCCTCGCTAGTCACATTAGTAGAACTGTAATTCTTTTTCTTCCTTTCTTTCTTTTGGGGGAGAGGGGAGGGGGGGGGGGCTTGTTACTCTCTGAATTTCAGCGCCTGCACTCTTGCCTGCACTATTACCTGCTTTGGTTGTATTGATCTGTTTGTTTGTTTGTTTTGGTTTTGTTTTTGTTTTTTGTTTTGTTTTGTTTTGTTTTTTTCTGTTCTCTCCCCCCACCCTTGTTTCCCTCCTCTCCCCCTCACCAACCTAAACCCCTGACTCAATGGACGATGACCCGGCACTCGAATTCAGTCCACACAGTTCCACACGGTTCCACACAGTTCCACACGGTTCCACACAGTTCCACACGGTTCCACACGGTTCCACACAGGTCCACACAGTTCCACACGGTTCCACACAGGTCCACACGGTTCCACACAGTTCCACACGGTTCCACACGGTTCCACACAAGTCCACACAGTTCCACACGGTTCCACACAGGTCCACACAGTTCCACACGGTTCCACACAGTTCCACACGGTTCCACACAGGTCCACACGGTTCCACACAGGTCCACACAGTTCCCCACGGTTCCACACAGGTCCACACAGTTCCACACGGTTCCACACAGTTCCACACGGTTCCACACAGGTCCACACGGTTCCACACAGGTCCACACAGTTCCCCACGGTTCCACACAGTTCCACACAGTTCCACACAGTTCCACACGGTTCCACACAGGTCCACACGGTTCCACACAGTTCCCCACGGTTCCACACAGGTCCACACAGTTCCACACGGTTCCACACAGGTCCACACAGTTCCACACGGTTCCTCACAGGTCCACACAGTTCCACACGGTTCCACACAGTTCCACATGGTTCCACACAGGTCCACACAGTCCCACACGGTTCCACACAGGTCCACACAGTTCCACACGGTTCCACACAGTTCCACACAGTTCCACACGGTTCCACACAGGTCCACACAGTTCCACACGGTTCCACACAGGTCCACACAGTTCCACACGGTTCCACACAGGTCCACACAGTTCCACACGGTTCCTCACAGGTCCACACAGTTCCACACGGTTCCACACAGGTCCACACAGTTCCACACGGTTCCACACAGGTCCACACAGTTCCACACGGTTCCACACAGGTCCACACAGTTCCACACGGTTCCTCACAGGTCCACACAGTTCCACACGGTTCCACACAGTTCCACACGGTTCCACACAGGTCCACACAGTTCCACACGGTTCCACACAGTTCCACACGGTTCCACACAGGTCCACACAGTTCCACACGGTTCCACTCAGTTCCACACAGTTCCACACGGTTCCACACAGGTCCACACAGTTCCACACGGTTCCACACAGGTCCACACAGTTCCACACGGTTCCACACAGTTCCACACAGTTCCACACGGTTCCTCACAGGTCCACACAGTTCCACACGGTTCCACACAGGTCCACACAGTTCCACACGGTTCCTCACAGGTCCACACAGTTCCACACGGTTCCACACAGTTCCACACAGTTCCACACGGTTCCACACAGGTCCACACAGTTCCACACGGTTCCACACAGGTCCACACGGTTCCACACAGGTCCACACGGTTCCACACAGTTCCCCACGGTTCCACACAGGTCCACACAGTTCCACACGGTTCCACACAGGTCCACACAGTTCCACACGGTTCCACACAGTTCCACACGGTTCCACACAGGTCCACACAGTTCCACACGGTTCCACACAGGTCCACACAGTTCCACACGGTTCCACACAGGTCCACACAGTTCCACACGGTTCCACACAGTTCCACACGGTTCCACACAGGTCCACACAGTTCCACACGGTTCCACACAGGTCCACACAGTTCCACACGGTTCCACACAGTTCCACACAGTTCCACACGGTTCCTCACAGGTCCACACAGTTCCACACGGTTCCACACAGTTCCACACAGTTCCACACGGTTCCACACAGGTCCACACAGTTCCCCACGGTTCCACACAGTTCCACACAGTTCCACACGGTTCCACACAGGTCCACACGGTTCCACACAGTTCCCCACGGTTCCACACAGGTCCACACAGTTCCACACGGTTCCACACAGGTCCACACAGTTCCACACGGTTCCTCACAGGTCCACACAGTTCCACACGGTTCCACACAGTTCCACACGGTTCCACACAGGTCCACACAGTTCCACACGGTTCCACACAGGTCCACACAGTTCCACACGGTTCCACACAGTTCCACACAGTTCCACACGGTTCCACACAGGTTCACACAGTTCCACACGGTTCCACACAGGTCCACACAGTTCCACACGGTTCCTCACAGGTCCACACAGTTCCACACGGTTCCACACAGGTCCACACGGTTCCACACGGTTCCACACAGGTCCACACAGTTCCACACAGTTCCACACAGTTCCACACGGTTCCACACAGGTCCACACAGTTCCGCACGGTTCCACACAGTTCCACACAGTTCCACACGGTTCCACACAGGTCCACACAGTTCCACACGGTTCCACACAGGTCCACACGGTTCCACACAGGTCCACACAGTTCCACACGGTTCCACACAGGTCCACACAGTTCCACACGGTTCCACACAGTTCCACACAGTTCCACACGGTTCCACACAGGTCCACACGGTTCCACACAGTTCCTCACAGTTCCACACGGTTCCACACAGGTCCACACAGTTCCACACGGTTCCACACAGGTCCACACGGTTCCACACAGGTCCACACAGTTCCACACGGTTCCACACAGGTCCACACAGTTCCACACGGTTCCACACAGTTCCACACAGTTCCACACGGTTCCACACAGGTCCACACGGTTCCACACAGTTCCTCACAGTTCCACACGGTTCCACACAGGTCCACACAGTTCCGACTATCTTAAAATCCCCACTGCCCTCCTCATCCCTCCCCCTCCCCCCCCACCGTCCACTCCCCCACTCCCACCGTTTCCACCCCGGTTTCCACCCCCACCCCACCCCTCCCGGCGTTTCCCCAGCAAGCTACACGACAACTCAATCGAGGATGATCTACCAGCCGGATTCAGCTCCCGCATCTCCTCCCCTCCTAGAGTCCCTGTTTCCTTCCTCATTCCTGCTCCCCTGCGTACCCCCCGTTTCCCTCCCCACCCCTCCTCTCTCTCCTGCCCCCCAGCAAGCTGCATGACAACTCAATCGAGGATGATTTACCAGCCGGTTTTGGCTCACTGACTGCGCTCAGCATACTGTGAGTGCGCTCAGAATGCATATTGAGTAAGCGAGCGCTCAACATACTGTGAGAACAAAGGGAAAAAGCATAGTATGTTGAGTCCGCATCTCCAAGACGAAAAAGCATGCATAATGTGCCATTGTTTGTTTGTGACAACAAGGGGACTTTTAAGTCGACTTATACGATGCCCCTGCCAGCCGATTTCAGCCCGCTGACTGAGCTCAACATACTCTGAGTGCTCTCAGCATGCATATTGTGTAGGCGAGCGCGCAACATACTCTGAGTGCTCTCAGCATGCATATTGTGTAGGCGAGCGCGCAACATACTCTGAGTGCTCTCAGCATGCATATTGTGTAAGCGAGCGCGCAACATACTCTGAGTGCTCTCAGCATGCATATTGTGTAAGCGAGCGCGCAACATGATTGTGAGTGCGTATTCACAAGATGGGAGAGTGTTCATGTGCCATTGTACTGTCACAACAAAATGACTTCTGCGTCGCGGACTGGCCGCGCTCAACAATTTTTTTTTGGTGTGTGTTTTTTGTTGTTGTTGTTGTTGTTTTTTTTTTTTATTTTTTTTATTTTTATGTTTGTGAATTTGCATTGTTGGAGTCTCGATTCCCTTCGTGCTCCAATGTGAGTTGCTGCATGTGCCCGCACTGATTCTCAAGTCGAATGAACAATCACCTGCGTTGTGTGCCTGCTGCACTCCTCGCAGGACTCTGGGTCACAATGAAATCACCGGCTCCATCCCTACTGGCTACCCCCAGCTGCAAAAGCTATGCAAGCATAGTCGCTGAACAATCACCGACTGAATAACCCTCTGCGTGTGTGTCTGTTGCTCCCCTCGCAGGACTCTGGGTCGCAATGAAATCACTGGCTCCATCCCCACTGGCTACTCCCAGCTGCAGAAGCTCAGATTTCTGTGAGTGGTTGAGCTTTTGAGGTATGCAAAGGGATGTGAAGGGATGCAAAGGGGCGCATAGGGAGGCCAAGGGATGTAACAGACGCATCTCAAGAGCAAGTGCTCGTTAAATTTGTTATTCTTGAGTCGACTCAAATCACCTCGTGCTCCCACTACCCTCAGCCATCTCAGCATTCACAGCCTGACCAAACCCTCTGATTGCTTCCTCCCCACGCCATCCCCTCTGTTGGCTTTCTTCATACAATGGTGTGCCGTTGCTTGCACTCTCTGCAGGTGCCTCAGTGCCAGCCACATCTCAGGGGGAGTGCCGTCGGAACTCGGTGCTCTCACCGACCTCTGCCATCTCAGCTTCACACCCTGACCAAACCCTCCCCTCACTCCCGCCCCCCTCCTCTCTCCCCCCACTTCCTCCCCCCCACATACCATCGTTCCCCTTTTCAATATGCTCTTCTCTTCTTTTCTCTGCAGGCTCCTCAGTGACAACCGCCTTTCAGGGCAGGTGCCATCGGAACTTGGAGCTCTCACTGACCTTGAAGCCCTGTGCGTGTGACAGTAGCGAGCTGCTCTTTAGTGAGATCGGAGTTGATTCATGTGACAGTAGCGAGCTGCAAGGCTGTCTGCGTGTGACAATAGCGAGCTGCTCTCCAGTTAGATCAGAGCTGATTCATGTGATATTAGCGAGCTGTAAGGCTGTGTGCGTGTGACAATAGCGAGCTGAGAGCATATCTGTGTGGGAAGAAACATGAGAATGATTCATTCGTTCATAAGCTCTAGCTTTCCTGTTGTGCCTTGTTCCCACCTCCTACACCACCGTGATTCACACTCTTACTCTATTTCCCAGGTTTCACCAACTTTTAACCCCTACATACCTACTTACCTTCCCCACCCTCCTCATTCCCCTCTCCGCCTTCCCCGCATTGTAAGCTCGGGTCACTTTGAGAGCTCCCAAAAGAATCTTTAGTCTGGGAAGCAGCATAACAGTAGAGGTACTCCCTATCGTTGCAGTGATTTTTTGAGAGTTCTCAAAAAAACCCTGCAGAGTACTCCCTGTCAACTCCCGTCAATCTCCTTTCCCAACGTTATCAAGATTCATGATTCAATCGCATGTTATCCACACCCACCCATCCCTCCCTGCTCCCACCACCCGCCATCCGCCACCTGCCACTCTCTATTAAGTCCCCTCTCAAACGGTCCTTCTCCCTCCAGCGACATGAGCCAGAACCGGCTGCTTGGCAGCATACCGGCAGAGGTCATTGCTCCCCCCCTATCAAATCCTTTCCCATTGGCCTCGCCCCACCCACACATCCCTCCCCTGCCACCCGCCACTCTCTCCTGATTCTCCTCTAAAAAGACCTTCTCCCTCCAGCGACCTGAGCCAGAACCGGCTGCGTGGCACTATGATGGCTTTGACGCGCTCAGCGTTTTGACGCTTTGACGCCCCTAGTCCGCCCTCCCCCCCCCCCCCCCCAGTTTGACGCGCAGGCGGCCAGGAAAAAAAATACTCGGGCAGGAAAAAAACCAGGAATAGGGGGGAGAGTAAGAGGGGGGGGGGGGGGGGGGGGGGGGGGGGGGGGGGGGGGGTGGGAGGAGTTGTAGTACATATGTTATTTTCGGTTGCTGGTTGGAAACCCTAGAATGGGGTTTCCAAAGGAGATTTGTGGTGAAGTACTAGGGGATAGGTTGGGTTGAGTAGTTTCAAAGGGGTGGAGGGTGGTTTGGGAGTTGGTTTTGTTGGGGCCTGTTTTGGGGCCTCATAATGTTGAGTTGGTTTGGCGGGTCGCGTCTTGGGCGCGGAAATTCGAATTCTTTTTTTTTTTTTACAGTTTTTTTTTTCCCGAAATCGGGCTGCCCAAAATATTTTACTAGCAGCGTCAAGCGTCAAAACGGTTTGACGCGTCAAACGTCAAAGCGAGGCGTTTTGACGCTTGACGTTTTCAGTTCTGAGCGTCAAATCCATCATAGGCGTGGCAGCATACCGGCAGAGGTCATCGCAACTCTCCCCTCAACTCCATCCCCATTGTGAATCTGACCTCCTCCTCACTCCCCACCCGTCCCTCCCCTGCCACCTGCCACTCTCTTGATTACCCTCTCCCCTCTCCCCTTCCCCAGCGATCTGAGAAAGAACCGGCTGTCTGGCAGCATACCAGCACAGGTTGTCACAACTCTTCCGTCTACTTCCCCACTTCCATTCCATCCACACCCACTCGTGATCCCTCCCTTTCCATCCCACCTCACACTCTCCTCATTCCCCTCTCCCTCTTCCCCAGCGACCTGAGCGAGAATTGGCTGTCTGGCAGCATACACAAAGAGGTCATTGCTCTCCCCCGTCAGCTCCTTTCCCAATGCTATTCCCACCCTTCACTCGCCTCCCACCCATCCCTGCCCTGCCACGTGTCACTCTCCTCATTCCCCTCTCCCCTCTTCCCCAGCGACCTGAGCAAGAATTGGCTGTCTGGCAGCATACCCAAAGAGGTCATCGCTCTTCCCAACCTCATGTACTTGTGAGTACGGGGAATGTGACAACAGCGAGCTGGTGAGGAGATCACTGGGCATGTGTTTTCGTTGCAATAACGAGTGGCGTATTGTGTAATTAGCTCCCGGCTTTTGAGGCGCCTTGCCTGAAGACGGAATTTATAATTGGCTTTCGCCTAAAGTGCTTCTCTAGAATTCTTGACTAGCAGGGCATGTGACTTCCTTCCTCTGACACTCATTAGAAAGCTCGAAAGGCCATGAAAGGCCATTCAACCAACCATTGGAATCGCCAGCTCTTCTTTTGTACCAGCTCGAGTGTGATAAGTAGATTTTGAGTCGACTAAAAAATATCAGCTCTCATTCAACTTCCTTTAGCAAACAGCACGTTTTCCTTCTTCCTTTTTCACTGTCCTGCCTGCATCACATCACAGTGACATATCCAATAACGAGTTCTCAGGCCCCCCACATGACTTACAGCATCCCTCTTTCCTTCCCCCTCTCCTCCTTTTCCTCCCCCTCCCCTTCCTTGTTCTCCTGCCTCCCTGCATCACATCACAGTGACATATCCAATAACGAGTTCTCAGGCCCCCCACCCACGGGATTTGCCAGCACCTCCTTTCAGTCCACCTCTGAGGCCACATACAACATCGAGAGAAACTATTTCAACGGCTCGGCCAAAGTCAAGATCACAGCGGGCAGCGGAACAATTTCTTTCTGCCCGAATGCACTCCAAGGGGGATTCGCCCAATCAGCACTTCTGGCCTACAGCCCGTCTTTGTACGGGTCTGTGAGAGGAAACTGCATGGTAACTTCTGGAACTGGGACATTCACATGGTAACTCAGACAAGCAGCGGAGGTCCACATCTGATTGTTTGGCGTTTTGTGGCGCGAGCACTGCTGCAGGGCCGTGCGGCGGGCACGGGCGGTGTTATTTGTCCGGAACTTCGCGCAGCCCGACGTGTGAATGTGATACAGACTATAACCCATATATTGCAACACAGAGTGGGATCGCATATCCCTCTTGCAGCACGGCTGTTGTGGCTAATCCTCCCCCGCCGCCGCCTCCACGCCCACCAGAAGGTAATTTCGAGTCGACTGAAAGTAGACTATATAAAACCCGTATAGTGCGACCCAGAATGGAATCACGTATCCTTCCCGCAGCTCGAGTGTTGTGGCTAACCCACCGCCGTCACCCCCTCCGTCCCCACCAGAAGGTTTGTACTCGTTATAGCACTCCCCAGCTCTGCTTTTAGAGTTAAGCTGCTGTGCAAAACCATCATTTATGAGTTCCTACCACACGCACACTCTCACACACTTGTGCATGCAGGCAGATAAACACTCCTCCCATATAGATTCCCGTCCACTACAAGACGAACAACATGTCGTCACCACATCCTTCCTCGCTCCTTTCCCCATCCCCTGTATAAACAGATCCTGATAAGCGCAAGCCAGGCCTCAAGGATACAGACTATCAAGCTGTCGCAACCAAGGTGGGCAGAGAAGTGTTTAGGCGGGTTTATATAATATTATATCAGATCATAAGCTATTTCTATCCCTCTCCTTGGAATACCACAGCACATCCACCAGGCTATTCCTTTCCTTGTTTACTTGTCTTTCCCTCTCTCTCCCGCACACCTCTCCTCAGCCGCCCACCAATTTCAACAAGTACTTTCGCTACGTGAGCCTCGGCTACAATGGCACAGCCACAAAGCCATCCCTTTCCCCTCTACCTCCCTTTTCCCCACTCATCCACTCCCCTCTCCCCAGCCGCTCACCAATTTCAACAAGTACTTTCGCTATGTGAGCCTGGGGTACAGCGGAACAGCCACAAAGCCCTCATGGACGTATAAGACTGCGGTGGACTGGCGCACGCAGGTTGTCAGCAAGCAGAACAGAACGGTCGTGGGACCTACTGTCGACCAGGGCACGTGTGGTGAGTGTATGGATGGGGGGATGAGAGAGAGGGAGAGGGCACGTGCGGTTAGTGTGAATGGGGTACAACGGCACAGCCACAAAGCCCTCATGGACGTATAAGACTGCGGTGGACTGGCGCACGCAGGTTGTCAGCAAGCAGAACAGGACGGTCGTGGGGCCCACGGTCGACCAGGGCACGTGCGGTGAGTGCTTGTGGAGAGATGAAAGAGAGGGTGGGAGAGATGAAAGAGAGGGTGGGAGAGATGAAAGAGAGGGTGGGAGAGATGAAAGAGAGGGTGGGAGAGAGCCTGGGGTACAACGGGACGGCCACGAAGCCCTCATGGACGTATGAGACTGCGGTGGACTGGCGCACTCAGACCGTCAGCAAGCAGAAGAGGAGCGTCGTGGGGCCCACGGTCGACCAGGGCACGTGTGGTGAGTGTGAATGGGGGGGGAGAGGGAGAGCCTGTGTTACAACGGCACGGCCACAAAGCCCTCATGGACGTATAAGAGCATGGTGGACTGGCGCACTCAGACCGTCAGCAAGCAGAAGCGGACTGTCGTGAGGCCAACCGTCGACTAGGGCACGTGCGGTGAGTGCATAGGGCGGGACCGTCTTCCTGTTGAGCCCTCATGGACGTATAAGAGCATGGTGGACTGGCGCACTCAGACCGTCAGCAAGCAGAAGCGGACTGTCGTGGGGCCCTCCTATCCCCCATTCCTTCCCATCCCCCCATCCCTCCTTCTCTACCCCACTCTCCCCATTGTCCCACACCCGTCCACTCCCCCACCCCATCAGCTGCGTGTTGGGCTCTCGTCCCAGTGGCAGCGATCGAAGCAGCCTACGCCATCGCGTTCGGGTTGAACCAGCCCAACATCTCTCCCATCCGTCCCATCCGTCTCATCCCTCTCTATTCTCCCCCCCTGTCAGCTGCGTGTTGGGCTCTCGTCCCGGTGGCAGCGATCGAAGCAGCGTATGCGATAGCGTTCGGGTCGAACCAGCCCAACATCTCAGGCCAGCACATTCTCAACTGCCAGGGCACCTGGGAGTGCGTGGGGGGCCTTCCTTCCGACGCCTTCCAGTTTGCAGCCTCAGGGGGAGTGCTGCCGGAATTCATTGTGCCGTACACAGGCACAAAAGACGCATCCAGCTGTCCGGTGAGTGGAGGGGAGTGTAAGGGTAGTTAAGTGTGGGAAGTGGGAGTGTGTGGGAGGACGCCTTGCCTCTGACGCCTTCCAGTTTGCAGCCTCGGGGGGTGTGCTGCCGGAATACACAGTGCCATACACGGGCACCAAAGATGCATTCAGCTGTGGGGTGAGTGGGGTGGAGTGGGGTGGAGTGGGGTGTGATTGTAGAAGTTGAGTAGTATAAGGCACGCTGCCAGATGGTGCTTTCAGAATTAAGAATGTGCTGCATGCATGGCATATGCTACTCAACCTTGCACCCCTCCTGCCTCTCCTGACTCACGTATCACCGGCACGCGTTTGTCGACATCCTTCCCACCTGATCCTTGGTTCGAGCCTGTTTTTGAGTCGACTAAAAAACAGACCCAGTCACTCACGTATCACCGGCACGCGTTTGTCAACATCCTTCCCACCTTGTCAACGGTTCGATCAAGCACTAGAGGATCATCACCATTCCTCTCGTGCTCCACCCCACCCCCCTCTTTCTGTGTCTTTTGTCATTCTGATTCCTCCCTTCCCCCAGCCCGTCCAGAGGAGGAAACTGGCAGCACCTGCTCTCCCTTATCCTCTTCCCTCACTCCTCTCCTCTCCCTTCTCCCTTCCCCCAGCCCGCCCAGAGGAGGAAATTGGCAGAATCCTTCCCTCCTGACCTCTGGTTCGATCGAGCACTAGAGAACATAAGACCTCCGCAGCCCACCTGTTTGCTGATAACAGCACCCGCCTGACCTCTGGTTCGATCGAGCACTAAAGGACCACCTCCATGCCTCTCCTGTTCCCCCTCCCTCCCTCTGTGCTCTGTGCGTGGTTCTTCCTCCCTTCCCCCAGCCCGCCCAGAGGAGGAAATTGGCAGAATCCTTTCCTCCTGACCTCTGGTTCGATCGAGCACTAGAGGACCACCTCCATGCCTCTCCTGCTCAACCCCCTCCCTCTGTGCTGTGTGTGTGATTCCGATTCCTCCCTTCCCTCAGCCCGCCCAGAGGAGGAAATTGGCAGAATCCTTCCCTCCTGACCTCTGGTTCGATCGAGCGCTAGAGGACCACCTCCACGCCTCGATACAAGACTCCTCGTTACAACAATCACAGCACCGACTGCACCAGCATCTGCAACAACATTCCCACTTTGCTCCTGCTCCTCCCGCTCCCTCTGCTCTTCCTTCCACCCGTCGCCCTCCTCCTCCCCCTCCTCCTCCGCCTTCACCTCCATCCGTTGCTCCCAACCGGCTCCCAGCAAAACCAAGCAGAAGAATTTCCCAGCTCGCATTTGAATCGTCACTGCTCCACCCTCCTCCACTACCCCCTCTTCCTCCATCCTCCCTCTTCTCCTCCCGCTTCACCTCCCTCCTCACCTCCTTCTTCCACATTCCTCACGCCCGCATCCTCCAATCATCACCAATTTCCTCCTCCTCTCGCTCATCCTCTGTTGGCCTACTCAAGAAGAAGGCCAAGAAAAAGCCCCCCCCTGCCCCGGCTGCCCAGCCGGTCCCGGGGCCGTACCGGGTTGCCATGTTTGAACAGGTGGCGGTGTCTGGTTTGCTGGGCATGGTCATCGCGCTGCAGGCGCAGCCAATCATTGCGAACGTGGAGGCGGACCAAACGTCTTTTATCGAATACACCGGGGTGAGTTGAGCTGTCAAGGGGAGGTTCAATGTAGGGTTGCCCGGACACAAGGCACAATGCAGCCACTCATTGCAAACGTGGAGGCGGACTATAATTCCTTCATCGAATACACGGGAGTGAGTTGGAAGGGAGGAGAGGGTGTTTGTGTGGGCCTGTGTGTTGCGGGGTTGCGTTTGAGAGGAGGTTCAAGGTAGGGTTGTTCAGAGGCAAGGCGCAGCGCAGCCACTCATTGCGAACATAGAGGCGGACCAGACTTCCTTCATTGAATATGCCGGGGTGAGTTGGAAGGGAGGGGGGGGTGGCTCTGTTCGTTAAAGGGAGTGATTTGGAAGAGGGTGTGGAAGAGGGTGTGGAAGAGGGTGTGGAAGAGGGTGTGTGCACTGTGCGTGGCTGAGGGGTTGTGTTGTGGAGGGCGCGTGCCGAAGGGAAGGTCTGGCTGTTGGTTTACACCTTTGCTGACCCGGATTGCTTCATCAATGGTGTGGTGAATCACATAGTGCTGCTCGTGTTAGGCTACAGCATGGCATGGCATGGCATGGCAGGCTGGCAGTGCTCCATCCCGCCCTGTTGAATGTTCTGCATCTTCCTCCTCCTGCACCCACAACCCCTCTCTCACTCTCTCTCCAGGGCTACATCTATGCGGACCCGGACTGTTTTATCAACGGGGTGGTGAATCACATAGTGCTGCTCGTGGGCTACAGCATGTCTGGCGCGACGCCCTACTTCATTGCGCAAAACACCTGGGGAGCCACCTGGGGGGTGGGCGGCTTCATGCAGATGGCCATTGCATCAGGTGAGGTCTCATGCATGCACGTAGAATTCAAAATGTTGCCATGGTCTACCTTGCAAAACACCTGGGGATCCACCTGGGGGGTGGACGGATTCATGCAGATGGCCATCGCATCAGGTGAGTTACCACGTGCTTTTGCCACACTCTACTCTATCTTGGGAAACACCTGGGGAACATCCTGGGGGGTGGGCAGCTTCATTTATGTAAATGGCCATTGCATCAGGTGAGCTCTCATGCGCTTAGAATGTAGAGTAAGGGTTGCCTGCCACAGTCTACCTTTATTGCCACGGTCTACTTTTGTTGCCACAGTCTTCTTTTATTGCCACAGTCTACTTTTATTGCCACGGTCTACTTTTATTGCCTCAGTCTACTTTTATTGCCATGGTCTACTTCTATTTCCACGGTCTACTTTTATTGCCACCGTCTACTTTTATTGCCACGGTCTACTTTTATTGCCACGGTCTACCTTTATTTCCACGGTCTACTTTTATTGCCACGGTCTACTTTTATTGCCAGTCTACTTTTATTGCCACAGTCTACTTTTATTGCCTCAGTCTACTTTTATTGCCACGGTCTACTTTTATTGCCACGGTCTACTTTTATTGCCATGGTCTACTTCTATTTCCACGGTCTACTTTTATTGCCATGGTCTACTTCTATTTCCACGGTCTACTTTTATTGCCATGGTCTACTTCTATTTCCACGGTCTACTTTTATTGCCACGGTCTACTTTTATTGCTGCGGTCTACTTTTATTGCCACGGTCTACTTCTATTTCCACGGTCTACTTTTATTGCCATGGTCATCTTCTATTTCCACGGTCTACTTTTATTGCCACGGTCTACTTTTATTGCCACGGTCTACTTTTATTTCTTGCCAAACGCCCGGGCATCCTGCTGGGCCACCGGTGGCAGTCGAATTAGATGCCCCCTTTTGAGACGTCTCAACAGTCGTGGCAGCCCCCTAACCTACACATGGCTGTCGAACCATCGTCCAACATTTCCCCTATTTCCCCTTCATCATCCCCTCTCCACCCCATACAGGTGACGGCATCTGTGGCATCAATACCTCTCCCGCTCTCTACCCTGTGGTCCGGGGTCCCAACCCGTGTGTGCCGAACCCGTGCGGGAGCGGCACGTGCAGTGCCGGCAGGGGCCCGGGGGGATACACGTGCAAGTGCAAGACGAATTTCGTTGTGGGGAAGAATATCGACCAATCACCTGTGTGCATACCACGTATGTATTGGGTTGGGTGTGGGGGAGGAGGGTTGGATGGGTGGGAAGGTGGTTGGGTGGGTGGGTGGGTGGGTGTGGGGGAGGAGGGGTGGGTGCGTGGGTGGGTTGTTGGGCGGGTAGGCATGTGGGTGTGTGACAGGGAGGGGCGGAAGGGGAGAAGTGGGGGCTGCACGTGCAGTGGGGCCCGGAAGGCAGATGCAGTTGCAATGGGGGGCCGGTGCCTCACCTCACCCCCTTCCCGCCATCTCAAAAGTCGCACCAGTGGGGGGCCCAGTGCCTCACCCCCTTCCCGCCGGTTGCTGGTGAAGCGCTGCTGTGTCAACACAGTCAACCCCTGCCAGGTGGGCAGGCACGTGTTAAATCCGATTCGCACCCCCTTTGCCTGTCTTCCACCCCCCCTCCCCTCCCTCCCATGAGTGAAGCCCTGCTATTTGAGCGCTGTCAACCCCTGCCAGGTGGACACGTGTTAAATCCGATACGTCTCCCCCCTTTTCCACTCCGCTCCTCCCCCCCCCTCCCTTCGCCTCCCCTCCCCTCTCCCCCACACCAGTGAAGCCCTGCTCGCTGAATGCGGTCAACCCCTGCCAGGTGGGCACGTGTGCATCTCACACACCCTGGCTGCAGAACTCCCTCCCTCCCTTCTCTCCCCCCCTTCCCTCCTCTCCCCCGCCTGCCCACACCAGTGAAGCCCTGCTCGCTGAACGCGGTCAACCCCTGCCAGGTGGGCACGTGTCTGGACGACGCCAGAGGGGGCTACAACTGCATCTGCCCGCCGGGTTTCTTCTTTGATACCCGGCCCGACAACACGCCCTCCTGCATCCTTGGTGGGTCCCCTTCACCACGTGCTGTGCCAGTATAGTGGTTGTGTTCCCACTGTGCTGCTGTGGGGTTTCTGTTTCTGGCTCCACCCGCTGCTGCTCGTTGGTGGTAATACTGAGGCACAACTGCATCTGCCCGCCAGGCTTCTTCTTTGTTCTTCTTCTTCTTCTTTGATATCAGGCCCGACAACACGCCCTCCAGCATTCTCGGTAAGTTTGCCTCTCCTATTCCAGGCAGGCCCCCCGCGCGGTGAAATCAGTGTTGTTCCAGGGCTCACATGTGATCTCGTGACGTCCGCCTATGGCATCAGCCTGCCCTCTTTCCTCCCCCACTCTTCCCCCCGTTCCGCTCTCCTCCTGCAGGCCCCCCGCCCGGTGAAATCAATGTTGTTCCAGGGCTCACATGTGATCTCGTGACGTCTTTTGAGACGTCTCAAAACAAATCAGTGTTGTTCCAGGGCTCACATGTGATCTCTTGACGTCCGCCTTGCCCTTTTTCCCCTCCTCCTCCCTTCCTCCTCCCCATTTTCCCATTTCTCCCCCTCTTTCCTCCCCATGCTTCCCATTTCTCCCCCTCTTTCCTCCCCATGCTTCCCATTTCTCCCCCTCTTTCCTCCCCATGCTTCCCATTTCTCCCCCTCTTTCCTCCCCATGCTTCCCATTTCTCCCCCTCTTTCCTCCCCATGCTTCCCATTTCTCCCCCTCTTTCCTCCCCATGCTTCCCATTTCTCCCCCTCTTTCCTCCCCATGCTTCCCATTTCTCCCCCTCTTTCCTCCCCATGCTTCCCATTTCTCCCCCTCTTTCCTCCCCATGCTTCCCATTTCTCCCCCTCTTTCCTCCCCATGCTTCCCATTTCTCCCCCTCTTTCCTCCCCATGCTTCCCATTTCTCCCCCTCTTTCCTCCCCATGCTTCCCATTTCTCCCCCTCTTTCCTCCCCATGCTTCCCATTTCTCCCCCTCTTTCCTCCCCATGCTTCCCATTTCTCCCCTCTTTCCTCCCCATGCTTCCCATTTCTCCCCCTCTTTCCTCCCCATGCTTCCCATTTCTCCCCCTCTTTCCTCCCCATGCTTCCCATTTCTCCCCCTCTTTCCTCCCCATGCTTCCCATTTCTCCCCCTCTTTCCTCCCCATGCTTCCCATTTCTCCCCCTCTTTCCTCCCCATGCTTCCCATTTCTCCCCCTCTTTCCTCCCCATGCTTCCCATTTCTCCCCCTCTTTCCTCCCCATGCTTCCCATTTCTCCCCCTCTTTCCTCCCCATGCTTCCCATTTCTCCCCCTCTTTCCTCCCCATGCTTCCCATTTCTCCCCCTCTTTCCTCCCCATGCTTCCCATTTCTCCCCCTCTTTCCTCCCCATGCTTCCCATTTCTCCCCCTCTTTCCTCCCCATGCTTCCCATTTCTCCCCCTCTTTCCTCCCCATGCTTCCCATTTCTCCCCCTCTTTCCTCCCCATGCTTCCCATTTCTCCCCCTCTTTCCTCCCCATGCTTCCCATTTCTCCCCCTCTTTCCTCCCCATGCTTCCCATTTCTCCCCCTCTTTCCTCCCCATGCTTCCCATTTCTCCCCCTCTTTCCTCCCCATGCTTCCCATTTCTCCCCCTCTTTCCTCCCCATGCTTCCCATTTCTCCCCCTCTTTCCTCCCCATGCTTCCCATTTCTCCCCCTCTTTCCTCCCCATGCTTCCCATTTCTCCCCCTCTTTCCTCCCCATGCTTCCCATTTCTCCCCCTCTTTCCTCCCCATGCTTCCCATTTCTCCCCCTCTTTCCTCCCCATGCTTCCCATTTCTCCCCCTCTTTCCTCCCCATGCTTCCCATTTCTCCCCCTCTTTCCTCCCCATGCTTCCCATTTCTCCCCCTCTTTCCTCCCCATGCTTCCCATTTCTCCCCCTCTTTCCTCCCCATGCTTCCCATTTCTCCCCCTCTTTCCTCCCCATGCTTCCCATTTCTCCCCCTCTTTCCTCCCCATGCTTCCCATTTCTCCCCCTCTTTCCTCCCCATGCTTCCCATTTCTCCCCCTCTTTCCTCCCCATGCTTCCCATTTCTCCCCCTCTTTCCTCCCCATGCTTCCCATTTCTCCCCCTCTTTCCTCCCCATGCTTCCCATTTCTCCCCCTCTTTCCTCCCCATGCTTCCCATTTCTCCCCCTCTTTCCTCCCCATGCTTCCCATTTCTCCCCCTCTTTCCTCCCCATGCTTCCCATTTCTCCCCCTCTTTCCTCCCCATGCTTCCCATTTCTCCCCCTCTTTCCTCCCCATGCTTCCCATTTCTCCCCCTCTTTCCTCCCCATGCTTCCCATTTCTCCCCCTCTTTCCTCCCCATGCTTCCCATTTCTCCCCCTCTTTCCTCCCCATGCTTCCCATTTCTCCCCCTCTTTCCTCCCCATGCTTCCCATTTCTCCCCCTCTTTCCTCCCCATGCTTCCCATTTCTCCCCCTCTTTCCTCCCCATGCTTCCCATTTCTCCCCCTCTTTCCTCCCCATGCTTCCCATTTCTCCCCCTCTTTCCTCCCCCATGCTTCCCATTTCTCCCCCTCTTTCCTCCCCATGCTTCCCATTTCTCCCCCTCTTTCCTCCCCATGCTTCCCATTTCTCCCCCTCTTTCCTCCCCATGCTTCCCATTTCTCCCCCTCTTTCCTCCCCATGCTTCCCATTTCTCCCCCTCTTTCCTCCCCATGCTTCCCATTTCTCCCCCTCTTTCCTCCCCATGCTTCCCATTTCTCCCCTCTTTCCTCCCCATGCTTCCCATTTCTCCCCCTCTTTCCTCCCCATGCTTCCCATTTCTCCCCCTCTTTCCTCCCCATGCTTCCCATTTCTCCCCCTCTTTCCTCCCCATGCTTCCCATTTCTCCCCCTCTTTCCTCCCCATGCTTCCCATTTCTCCCCCTCTTTCCTCCCCATGCTTCCCATTTCTCCCCCTCTTTCCTCCCCATGCTTCCCATTTCTCCCCCTCTTTCCTCCCCATGCTTCCCATTTCTCCCCCTCTTTCCTCCCCATGCTTCCCATTTCTCCCCCTCTTTCCTCCCCATGCTTCCCATTTCTCCCCCTCTTTCCTCCCCATGCTTCCCATTTCTCCCCCTCTTTCCTCCCCATGCTTCCCATTTCTCCCCCTCTTTCCTCCCCATGCTTCCCATTTCTCCCCCTCTTTCCTCCCCATGCTTCCCATTTCTCCCCCTCTTTCCTCCCCATGCTTCCCATTTCTCCCCCTCTTTCCTCCCCATGCTTCCCATTTCTCCCCCTCTTTCCTCCCCATGCTTCCCATTTCTCCCCCTCTTTCCTCCCCATGCTTCCCATTTCTCCCCCTCTTTCCTCCCCATGCTTCCCATTTCTCCCCCTCTTTCCTCCCCATGCTTCCCATTTCTCCCCCTCTTTCCTCCCCATGCTTCCCATTTCTCCCCCTCTTTCCTCCCCATGCTTCCCATTTCTCCCCCTCTTTCCTCCCCATGCTTCCCATTTCTCCCCCTCTTTCCTCCCCATGCTTCCCATTTCTCCCCCTCTTTCCTCCCCATGCTTCCCATTTCTCCCCCTCTTTCCTCCCCATGCTTCCCATTTCTCCCCCTCTTTCCTCCCCATGCTTCCCATTTCTCCCCCTCTTTCCTCCCCATGCTTCCCATTTCTCCCCCTCTTTCCTCCCCATGCTTCCCATTTCTCCCCCTCTTTCCTCCCCATGCTTCCCATTTCTCCCCCTCTTTCCTCCCCATGCTTCCCATTTCTCCCCCTCTTTCCTCCCCATGCTTCCCATTTCTCCCCCTCTTTCCTCCCCATGCTTCCCATTTCTCCCCCTCTTTCCTCCCCATGCTTCCCATTTCTCCCCCTCTTTCCTCCCCATGCTTCCCATTTCTCCCCCTCTTTCCTCCCCATGCTTCCCATTTCTCCCCCTCTTTCCTCCCCATGCTTCCCATTTCTCCCCCTCTTTCCTCCCCATGCTTCCCATTTCTCCCCCTCTTTCCTCCCCATGCTTCCCATTTCTCCCCCTCTTTCCTCCCCATGCTTCCCATTTCTCCCCCTCTTTCCTCCCCATGCTTCCCATTTCTCCCCCTCTTTCCTCCCCATGCTTCCCATTTCTCCCCCTCTTTCCTCCCCATGCTTCCCATTTCTCCCCCTCTTTCCTCCCCATGCTTCCCATTTCTCCCCCTCTTTCCTCCCCATGCTTCCCATTTCTCCCCCTCTTTCCTCCCCATGCTTCCCATTTCTCCCCCTCTTTCCTCCCCATGCTTCCCATTTCTCCCCCTCTTTCCTCCCCATGCTTCCCATTTCTCCCCCTCTTTCCTCCCCATGCTTCCCATTTCTCCCCCTCTTTCCTCCCCATGCTTCCCATTTCTCCCCCTCTTTCCTCCCCATGCTTCCCATTTCTCCCCCTCTTTCCTCCCCATGCTTCCCATTTCTCCCCCTCTTTCCTCCCCATGCTTCCCATTTCTCCCCCTCTTTCCTCCCCATGCTTCCCATTTCTCCCCCTCTTTCCTCCCCATGCTTCCCATTTCTCCCCCTCTTTCCTCCCCATGCTTCCCATTTCTCCCCTCTTTCCTCCCCATGCTTCCCATTTCTCCCCTCTTTCCTCCCCATGCTTCCCATTTCTCCCCCTCTTTCCTCCCCTCCCCATGCTTCCCATTTCTCCCCCTCTTTCCTCCCCATGCTTCCCATTTCTCCCCCTCTTTCCTCCCCATGCTTCCCATTTCTCCCCCTCTTTCCTCCCCATGCTTCCCATTTCTCCCCCTCTTTCCTCCCCATGCTTCCATTTCTCCCCTCTTTCCTCCCCATGCTTCCCATTTCTCCCCCTCTTTCCTCCCCATGCTTCCCATTTCTCCCCTCTTTCCTCCCCATGCTTCCCATTTCTCCCCCTCTTTCCTCCCCATGCTTCCCATTTCTCCCCCTCTTTCCTCCCCATGCTTCCCATTTCTCCCCCTCTTTCCTCCCCATGCTTCCCATTTCTCCCCCTCTTTCCTCCCCATGCTTCCCATTTCTCCCCCTCTTTCCTCCCCATGCTTCCCATTTCTCCCCCTCTTTCCTCCCCATGCTTCCCATTTCTCCCCCTCTTTCCTCCCCATGCTTCCCATTTCTCCCCCTCTTTCCTCCCCATGCTTCCCATTTCTCCCCCTCTTTCCTCCCCATGCTTCCCATTTCTCCCCCTCTTTCCTCCCCATGCTTCCCATTTCTCCCCCTCTTTCCTCCCCATGCTTCCCATTTCTCCCCCTCTTTCCTCCCCATGCTTCCCATTTCTCCCCCTCTTTCCTCCCCATGCTTCCCATTTCTCCCCCTCTTTCCTCCCCATGCTTCCCATTTCTCCCCCTCTTTCCTCCCCATGCTTCCCATTTCTCCCCCTCTTTCCTCCCCATGCTTCCCATTTCTCCCCCTCTTTCCTCCCCATGCTTCCCATTTCTCCCCCTCTTTCCTCCCCATGCTTCCCATTTCTCCCCCTCTTTCCTCCCCATGCTTCCCATTTCTCCCCCTCTTTCCTCCCCATGCTTCCCATTTCTCCCCCTCTTTCCTCCCCATGCTTCCCATTTCTCCCCCTCTTTCCTCCCCATGCTTCCCATTTCTCCCCCTCTTTCCTCCCCATGCTTCCCATTTCTCCCCCTCTTTCCTCCCCATGCTTCCCATTTCTCCCCCTCTTTCCTCCCCATGCTTCCCATTTCTCCCCCTCTTTCCTCCCCATGCTTCCCATTTCTCCCCCTCTTTCCTCCCCATGCTTCCCATTTCTCCCCCTCTTTCCTCCCCATGCTTCCATTTCTCCCCCTCTTTCCTCCCCATGCTTCCCATTTCTCCCCCTCTTTCCTCCCCATGCTTCCCATTTCTCCCCCTCTTTCCTCCCCATGCTTCCCATTTCTCCCCCTCTTTCCTCCCCATGCTTCCCATTTCTCCCCCTCTTTCCTCCCCATGCTTCCCATTTCTCCCCCTCTTTCCTCCCCATGCTTCCCATTTCTCCCCCTCTTTCCTCCCCATGCTTCCCATTTCTCCCCCTCTTTCCTCCCCATGCTTCCCATTTCTCCCCCTCTTTCCTCCCCATGCTTCCCATTTCTCCCCCTCTTTCCTCCCCATGCTTCCCATTTCTCCCCCTCTTTCCTCCCCATGCTTCCCATTTCTCCCCCTCTTTCCTCCCCATGCTTCCCATTTCTCCCCCTCTTTCCTCCCCATGCTTCCCATTTCTCCCCCTCTTTCCTCCCATGCTTCCCATTTCTCCCCCTCTTTCCTCCCCATGCTTCCCATTTCTCCCCCTCTTTCCTCCCCATGCTTCCCATTTCTCCCCCTCTTTCCTCCCCATGCTTCCCATTTCTCCCCCTCTTTCCTCCCCATGCTTCCCATTTCTCCCCCTCTTTCCTCCCCATGCTTCCCATTTCTCCCCCTCTTTCCTCCCCATGCTTCCCATTTCTCCCCCTCTTTCCTCCCCATGCTTCCCATTTCTCCCCCTCTTTCCTCCCCATGCTTCCCATTTCTCCCCCTCTTTCCTCCCCATGCTTCCCATTTCTCCCCCTCTTTCCTCCCCATGCTTCCCATTTCTCCCCCTCTTTCCTCCCCATGCTTCCCATTTCTCCCCCTCTTTCCTCCCCATGCTTCCCATTTCTCCCCCTCTTTCCTCCCCATGCTTCCCATTTCTCCCCCTCTTTCCTCCCCATGCTTCCCATTTCTCCCCCTCTTTCCTCCCCATGCTTCCCATTTCTCCCCCTCTTTCCTCCCCATGCTTCCCATTTCTCCCCCTCTTTCCTCCCCATGCTTCCCATTTCTCCCCCTCTTTCCTCCCCATGCTTCCCATTTCTCCCCCTCTTTCCTCCCCATGCTTCCCATTTCTCCCCCTCTTTCCTCCCCATGCTTCCCATTTCTCCCCCTCTTTCCTCCCCATGCTTCCCATTTCTCCCCCTCTTTCCTCCCCATGCTTCCCATTTCTCCCCCTCTTTCCTCCCCATGCTTCCCATTTCTCCCCCTCTTTCCTCCCCATGCTTCCCATTTCTCCCCCTCTTTCCTCCCCATGCTTCCCATTTCTCCCCCTCTTTCCTCCCCATGCTTCCCATTTCTCCCCCTCTTTCCTCCCCATGCTTCCCATTTCTCCCCCTCTTTCCTCCCCATGCTTCCCATTTCTCCCCCTCTTTCCTCCCCATGCTTCCCATTTCTCCCCCTCTTTCCTCCCCATGCTTCCCATTTCTCCCCCTCTTTCCTCCCCATGCTTCCCATTTCTCCCCCTCTTTCCTCCCCATGCTTCCCATTTCTCCCCCTCTTTCCTCCCCATGCTTCCCATTTCTCCCCCTCTTTCCTCCCCATGCTTCCCATTTCTCCCCCTCTTTCCTCCCCATGCTTCCCATTTCTCCCCCTCTTTCCTCCCCATGCTTCCCATTTCTCCCCCTCTTTCCTCCCCATGCTTCCCATTTCTCCCCCTCTTTCCTCCCCATGCTTCCCATTTCTCCCCCTCTTTCCTCCCCATGCTTCCCATTTCTCCCCCTCTTTCCTCCCCATGCTTCCCATTTCTCCCCCTCTTTCCTCCCCATGCTTCCCATTTCTCCCCCTCTTTCCTCCCCATGCTTCCCATTTCTCCCCCTCTTTCCTCCCCATGCTTCCCATTTCTCCCCCTCTTTCCTCCCCATGCTTCCCATTTCTCCCCCTCTTTCCTCCCCATGCTTCCCATTTCTCCCCCTCTTTCCTCCCCATGCTTCCCATTTCTCCCCCTCTTTCCTCCCCATGCTTCCCATTTCTCCCCCTCTTTCCTCCCCATGCTTCCCATTTCTCCCCCTCTTTCCTCCCCATGCTTCCCATTTCTCCCCCTCTTTCCTCCCCATGCTTCCCATTTCTCCCCCTCTTTCCTCCCCATGCTTCCCATTTCTCCCCCTCTTTCCTCCCCATGCTTCCCATTTCTCCCCCTCTTTCCTCCCCATGCTTCCCATTTCTCCCCCTCTTTCCTCCCCATGCTTCCCATTTCTCCCCCTCTTTCCTCCCCATGCTTCCCATTTCTCCCCCTCTTTCCTCCCCATGCTTCCCATTTCTCCCCCTCTTTCCTCCCCATGCTTCCCATTTCTCCCCCTCTTTCCTCCCCATGCTTCCCATTTCTCCCCCTCTTTCCTCCCCATGCTTCCCATTTCTCCCCCTCTTTCCTCCCCATGCTTCCCATTTCTCCCCCTCTTTCCTCCCCATGCTTCCCATTTCTCCCCCTCTTTCCTCCCCATGCTTCCCATTTCTCCCCCTCTTTCCTCCCCATGCTTCCCATTTCTCCCCCTCTTTCCTCCCCATGCTTCCCATTTCTCCCCCTCTTTCCTCCCCATGCTTCCCATTTCTCCCCCTCTTTCCTCCCCATGCTTCCCATTTCTCCCCCTCTTTCCTCCCCATGCTTCCCATTTCTCCCCCTCTTTCCTCCCCATGCTTCCCATTTCTCCCCCTCTTTCCTCCCCATGCTTCCCATTTCTCCCCCTCTTTCCTCCCCATGCTTCCCATTTCTCCCCCTCTTTCCTCCCCATGCTTCCCATGCCTCTCCTCCTACAGGCCCCACGCGCGGTGAATCAATGTTGTTCCAGGGCTCACATCTGACCTCGTGATGCCTACCTATGGCATCAGCCTCCCCTCTTCCCCCTCCCCTCCCCTTCACCTCATTTTCCCATTCTCACCACACCTCTCCCATTCTCCCCCATTCGTCTGCCATTGCAGGCCCCACGCCCGATGAGATCAAGGTTGTTCCCAGGCTCACATGCGACCTGGTCATGTCCACCTACGGCATCAACCTGCCCTCTTCCCCCTCTCCGCCCGCCCCTTCCACCTCCCTTATTTTCCCCTTTCTCCCCACTTCCCTGCCTCTGCAGGCCCCACGCCCGATGAAATCAAGGTTGTTCCCGGGCTCACATGCGACCTGGTCATGTCTATCTATGGCATCACCCTCACCAACTTTACCCAGCTTAACCCGGTAAGAACCCCCCCTTTCTCCTTCCCATGCTCTTGGCCCGCAAAGCTTGTGTACGGTTTTTGAGTCGACTCACATGCGACCTGGTCATGTCTACCTATGGCATCGACCTCACCAGCTTCACCCAGCTCAACCCAGTAAGTTGTTTCCCCCCCCTCTAGTCCATGACTTTTGACTCTTGAGGCCCCTCAAAAGATGTCTACCTACAGCATCAACCTCACCAGCTTCACCCAGCTCAACCCGGTAAGAATTCCTTTTCTCCTCTCCTCCCATTTTTGAGTCGACTCACTTGCGACCTGGTCATGTCTACCTACGGCATCGACCTCACCAGCTTCACGCAGCTCAACTCGGTAAGATTCTTGAGGCGCCTCAAAAATAGGCTCACATGCGACCTGGTCATGTCTACCTATGGCATCAACCTCACCAGCTTCACCCAGCTCAACCCCGTGAGAATGTGTTTCCAGAAAATTTAGCCAGAGACCTAGGATGCCATAACTCGTTTCTCCCCCCTCCACGCGAAACATGCCTTTCTCCTTTCCCTCCTCCCATTCCACCCCGCCCCCCCACTCCCCCGCCCTCCCATCCCCTTCCCTTCCCGCCGTTGCCCCCACCCCGGACACTTTTCCTAAAACTTTGTGCCGATTCTTCAGTTAATTAGCATACCCGCTCGCTCTTTATTTCCTAGGTTCTCGTGCAGAAGTTGACTCCTCAGTCGACTCAAAACTCCTCCCGTCTCACTCCTACCCCTCCTCTTCTCACCCACCCCCTCTGAGTATAGACTCTGACAATGACATCCATATTGGCGACACCAACCCATGTGCCAGTGCGGCAGTGCCACGCCCAATCTTGTTCATGTTACACAAGACTCCTCCCGCCTCCCGCATCACTCCTACCCCTTCTCACCCACCCCCCCCCCCTCCCCCGAATACAGGATCTGAACTGCAAGAAGCTCAAACTAGGCGATGACATCCATATTGGCGACACCAACCCATGTGCCACGCCCTATACGGTCACTTCTGTAAGTTTTCCTCTCTCGAATGGTATTTGTAATGATATATGATGTTACAACCGAAGGCAAGCAAGGTCAGGCGAGACAAGGTGAGCCGCTACTATGTTACCTCCAACTTCCTTTCCTTCTGGAATTCCAAACCCGGCTCCAGGATTGACTTTTGAGTCGACTCAAAAGTTGCCTCCAACTTCCTTCCTACTGAAATTCCAAACCTGGTTCCAGGGTTGCAAAGCAGTCTCTTGGGAAGACTTTTGAGTCGACTCAAACGTCCCTTCCTACTGAAATTCCAAAGCTGGTTCCAGGGTTGCAAAGCTTTTGAGACGACTCAAAAGCAGGCTAGACAAGGTGAGTTGCTATTATATTACCTCCAACTTCCTTCCTACTGAAACTCCAAACCTGGCTCCAGGATTGCAAAGCAATCCCTTGGGAACAGGGCCACGTCCTTCCTGACCTCCCACCGGCGGATTTTCAACCTGGGCAGCCATGTTGAGCTTGGTGAGATAGCTCACCGCCTGCCCGCGTGCATTGAGGTGATTTTTGAAGTGCCTCGGAAATCTTTTGAATCCGGGCAGCCATGTTTTGCCTGGTGAGATAGCTCAACATCTCACCCCCTCCTTTTGAGACATCTCAAAAGTTGAATCCGGGCAGCCATGTTAAGCTTGGTGAGATAGCTCAACATCTCCCCCCCCTTCTTCCTTCCCCTACCGACAGCAGAGCGATACGTGTGCATCCATAGCAGCAGTGTTCATGATCACCACGGATTAGCCGAAGGAACGCAATGATGAGCTCAAATGCAACAAGCATCCCTGCACGGCTGTCTGAACGTGCATTTCCTCCCTCCCCCACCACTTCCTCCCACTCTCCTTCCCCCACCTACAGCAATCCGATACATGTGCATCCATAGCAGCAGCGTTCAACATCACCACGGTTGAGCTCCAGAAGCGCAACCACAGTTAGTTAGACTCAAATGCCACCTTGTACCGCATTCCACTCCCCTGCACCTCACGTTATACTCCGTTGTCCCCCCACCTACAGCAAACCAGTACGTGTGCATCCATAGCCGCAGCATTCAACATCACCACGGTTGAGCTGCAGGAGCGCAACCACGAGCTCAAATGCAACAAGGCGCTGCAGATTGGGCAGCAGGTGAGGCACTTGCATCTCCGCCTGTCTGTTGAGGCGCCTCAAAGGTCGCCTATAAGCTTAAAGAGCGGAACCGCAATATAAAATGCAACAAGCCACTGCTGATTGGGCCGCAGGTAAGCAACCATTTGCATTCTGCTTGTACTTGTGTTATCTGTCGCTTTTTGTCTGCTTTCTGCTCTTCCCCCTCCCCTACTCCCCCCCCACCCCCTCCCCCCCCAGCTCTTCCTTTTCAATTTAAACGCGTCCAGCACATTGCATGCGCTCTGGTTTCCAGTCTGGGACTCCATGCCACAGGTGTGTGGGGCGAGGGGCACAGCTGACGTGGCTGTGTGTGTTCCAGGACGGTCTATGTGACTGTAGCCAAATTTTCAGTACTAAAACTAGTCTCCTTTGCCGTCCCTCTGACCATGTGCCAGGTGTGTGTAGTGAGGGGAACAGCCGACCTGCCGGTGTGTCAGGAGTATGTGACTGTAGCGGAGGGAGACACGTGTGACACTATAATGAGGTCTGCGCGGCCGCCGCTGACCGGCCAGGAGTTCTATGCGCTGAATCCAGGCATCAACTGCAACGTGGGGGATCAGAGTCTACTGGGGCAGCAGGTGGGTTAGCTGTACACTGTGTGTCAGCAGATGGGCATGCACACACAATTGTCAACAGCACTTAGTGGAGAGAGGATATCAGTAGGTGGGCGGTAGGTAGGCACTGACCAGTCAGGAGTCCTATGGTGAATCCAGGCATCAACTGCAACGTGGGGGACCAGAGTCTGCTGGGCAGCAGGTGGGTTTGCACTAGCTGTCAGCAGGTGGGCATACACAAAATGTAAGCAGGCAGGTTGATAGTGGGTTCAGCAGGTAGGCAGTGGATAATGAAAAGCCAGGAGTTATGGTATCAGCAACGTGGGGGACGAGATTCTGCTTGGGCAACAGGTGGGTGTAGAGTAGGTAACAGCACGTAGGTGTATGCAAAAGTGGGTTAGTGTAGGAGTGATGGTATCAGCAGGTGGTTTGTGGATGTGGAATAATAAAAAACGTACCTTCTTCTGTGTTCTGCTGATGATGTCATAAGAGAGGTTCTTTGAGTGCTCATTGGTTGTGCTCCCCTTCTTCCTTCCTCATCCTCCTTCCCTGTGGGGTCTTGTCCCTCTCTGCTTCTCCTGCATTTTCTTCCACCTGTCAGATTTGTACTCGTGGTGGCCAATCGAGTGTTCTGCTGGGTGCTTCAAAATGTGTTACAAAGGCGTATTATACTGTTGTCACTGGTGATACCTGCGCTCGCATCATGGCACTCTACTTCAAATCATCATCGCGTTTGCTTGCTCAATATAATAGTGGATATGTCTGCACAAACAGCCGACTGTACAAAGGGACGGCGTTGTGCAAACCACCTTAGATTATCATGGATTCCATACTGGTGTATAGAAAACTAATCATGTGTTGAAGTATGTGTGTCACATGCTTTTGGAAAAAAAAAAAAAAAAAATGTTCAACTTGCATACTGGTGTGAAGAAAACTTAGCATGTGTTGAAGTATGTGTGTCTCATGCTTTTGGAAAAAAACAATTTTTGTTCAACTTGTTGCGCCAATACTTTTTGAGTCAAAATCATTATGGGCATCGCTGTAATCGAATTTTTCTTTGGCGGGCTTTCATGTTTTTTTTGCGCGAACAACGCTGTCGGTATAAATGTCATTGGCTTTCGTCATCAGCAAAAGCTGATTTCACGAGCACTAACGATAACGTCTCTGACAATTGTCGTCTCCGTCATCTAAACGTCTGTATTGACTCTTCTCGACCAGCTTTCCACGTCAGCGATCCTCGATTCTTGCAGCCGAACGTTGAGTTCCTAATCAATTTCTGCCACGCGGGCCTTCTAGACTTTCAGACGGGCTGGAGGCCAGATATTGGTGTTTGGTGGTCCCAGCTTTCTCCACAGGGAAAGGCTGACGGACAGGATATTTCGGATTTCATTCGATAAAGTGAAATTCAGAATTGGCTCTTCAGCTTGAATCTGGCCTTGGGAACTCCGCTTGGCTCTTGGTGTCTCTAGGGAACTCCATCCTGCTGCTGCAGCATTTGATTCTCCTGCTGGTTCTGCTGCTGCCTTCTCTCAGTTTTTGTGGAGGGACAGGTTTAATAAGTCTCTCGGGACTTGTAATTTTAAGTCGTGGGTTGTCACTGCTGTCGTTTCGTTTCTCTCGCGCGAGCATCGTTTCGGACAGACGAAGTGCATGTTCCTGCACAAGTCGACCTGCCTTCTCCGCTAAATACCATTACAATGGCTGGTGAGATACGTTCTCCTCTTTTTCTTTCGACGTATCGCGAGCACGAGTACGAGCACGAGCACGAGTGTTCGCGTTCGGGGAACTGAACTGAGTTCCGTGCAAATCTCCCGCGTCCGTCTTTGCGTGCGAATCTCTCCTTGTCCTGCAGCGATGCTGACTTCCAGCCTATGCAGCAGCAATCCAGCTGCGATGCTTTTCCCGAGCTTGAAGCCCGCGTTAACCGCAAATGCCGTACAAGCACTCACCTCTCGTTACAGTCACACACCGCTCCAGCTGTCACGCTGCTCCAATCGCAGCCGGCGGCTGGTTGTCGTGGAAGCATCATCTGCCAATCCGTCCCAGATTTCGTTTGGTCAGTCCGTCACCCAAAAACCTTGTCCACTCTCACTCACCCTCTCGCTCCTTTCCTTCCGCTCTTTCTCGGTTTCTTTTCTTCTTGGTGTGGTTGGTTCTGCGTGCGAAACCTATCGCATGATTCTGAATCTACACTGCCGTATGGTTTGCATGCGTGTGTCTGATGCTCTGGCCTTGACGCAGCAACAGCGATGGAGAGCCAACCTACCCTCTTCCAGGCAATCGACTTCAAGAAGCTTCAAAACGGAAGGTACGAGCGTCGCCTCAGAACGAAACATACTCTGAAAGAGAGAGGGACGAATATACATTTTAGCCTTTCAACCTCAGTTTAACGAACCTTTCTTGGCAAAGTTCTCCGCTGTAGAGCACACGCTCAAATTTTTAAGCCACTCAAGAATTTGGGATCGAAACTTCACCTATTCCGACCCTCTCCTATTCTGACCCTCTCCTATTCTGACCCTCTGCCATGTGTATGCAGTGACATAAGGGGAGTGGCGATTCCGGGGGTGGAGGGCGAACCTGTGACACTAACGGAGCCGGCAGCAGAGGCCATAGGCGCAGCGTTCGCTCGGTTCTTGAAGGGGAAGAAGGAGCAGGCGGGGGAGAAGGCTGACGGGCAGCTGAGCGTGTCCATCGGACATGACTCGAGAGTGTCGGCTGATGTGATCACGGTGGGTGGAGTGGGCAGTGTGAGCATGTAAGGTGCTCTCATGGTAGTTGGAAAAGGTAACAGGGAAGGGAGAAGCAGCAGGCGGGGGAGAAGGAGAGGGCCTGTGGGCAGCTGAGCGTGTCGATCGGGCATGACTCGAGAGTGTCTGCTGATGTGATCACGGTGGGTGGAATGGGGCAGTGTAACGGGCAGTGATGGGCAGGGGAGAAGGGGAAGGGTTTGATGGGAAGCTGAGCGTGTCGATTGGGCATGACTCGAGAGACTTGGCTGATGTGATCACGGTGGGTGCAACGGAGGGTGAGTGTGCAGCTGCTGCGTACGTATAGCGCAATGAGTGTGCATAGGTTGCCGTGAAGGTTGAGCGCAGTTGGCAGTGTGAGTACGCATGGTGCCTTCGAGGGAGTTGGAAAGTGGTAACAAGCGGAGAAGGAGAAGGCCTGTAGGCACCTGAGCGTGTCTATCCAGCTAAGAGTGCCGGCTGATGGGATCACGGTGGGTGCAGTTGCCAGTGTGAGCAAGTCTTTGTGCAGTGGAGGGTGCCCTTCAGGTCAGGCATAGCTCCACTTTTGAGAATTTTCAAAAGTGACTCCTCAGGTCATGGATAGGTCTGGTTCCCCAACCAGCCAGGAGAAAACGGGCGGGTTTGCGCGAGGGGTGTCAGCAGCGCATCCACACCCCTCCAGGACGCTCCCCTGTAGCTTTTCAGGGAGGAAATTCAGGGGAAAATGCTCCCACGGGAAAATCAAGTTATAAGGAAGCAGTCAGCATGGCGCATGTGCAGCTGAGCATGTCCAGCCCTCCCTGATCCTTCTGCTCTTCCTGCTCTGCAGGGAGCAGGGGCGCACGGGCTGGCAGGCGAGGGCGTGACGGTCGTTTCGTTAGTTTCGGTTCGGCTTCCAGGGGTTAAATCGGGTGCCACCACCCTCTGTGTTCGTGCCTGCAGGCAGCAGTGGCGCGCGGCCTTGCAGGCGAGGGCGTGAAGGTGGTTCGGTTTGGTTCGGTTCAGCCCAGTTTGTCGGGTTTCTGACCGTTTGTTTTTTCCCCTGCTCGTACCAACAGGCAGCAGTGGCGCGCGGGCTAGCAGGCGAGGGCGTGAAGGTGGTTCGGTTCGGCCTGGCGTCCACGCCAGCCATGTTCAGCAGCACCGTCACTGAGGATGCCAGCCTCCACTGTCCCAACGACGGAGGCATCATGATCACAGGTGTGTGCTTCCTGGCGGGGTTGGGACATGGGCGGAATGAGGATGGCAGGGGAGAGAATTGGCAGGCTGTCTCGCATTCCCCTCCCCAGCCATGTTCGGTTTCGGAATAATCCAGCCTGCACTGCCCCAACGACGGAGGCATCATGATCACAGGTGTGTGCTTCCTGGCGGGCTGGAGCATGTGTTTGGGGGGCCTTACATGCTCCACCCCTCCAGGAAGCATGTGTTTCAGAAAGTGGTTGGGTTCGGTAAGGCGGCCACGCCAGCCATGTTCAGCAGCACGGTCACTGAAGACCCACTTGCATGTTTCCTCCCCTGCGCTGCATGTCTTCATCTCCCCTTTTTTCCCATTCACAGCCAGCCACCTGCCTCTCAACTGCAATGTGCTCTAGTTCTTCACAGCAAAGGGCAGCGCCAACGAGGCTGATATCCCTGCTATTCTCACCTCACATTCCCTCTCATTCCCTCGTTCCTTTGTGCTCTCTCCTTTGCTTCCTCGTTCCCTGTACTCTGCTCTCACCCTGCAGCCAGCCACCTCCCCTTCAACCGCAATGATCTCAAATTCTACAAAGGAAAGGGCGGCACCAACAAGGCGGATATGCCTGCTAATCATGTTTCCTCTTACTCTTCCTCTTTCCCTCGTACTTTCAACTTTCAGCTAGCCACCTCCCCTTCAACCGCAACGGGCTCAAGTCCTTCACAGCGAAGGGTGGCGCCAACAAGGCGGATATCGCTGCCATGCCCTACTCACATTCCCCTCTCTCTGCTCTCTCCCCTTCTATCCCTCTTGCCACCCACCGTACAGCCAGCCACCTCCCCTTCAACTGCAATGGGCTTAAGTTCTTCACAGCAAAGGGCGGGGCCAACAAGGCAGATAACGCTGCAAGCCCCACCGCACCTTCCACCTCATTCCCTCGTCCCCTTTGTGCTATCCCTCAACTCGCAGCTAGCCACCTCCCCTTCAACCGCAATGGTCTCAAGTTCTTCACAGCAAAGGGCGGCGCCAACAAGGCGGATATCGCGGCCATCCTGGCATCTGCCGCCCAGATCTACGAGTCCATGTCAGCAGAATCCGTGCAGGCCAATCAGGAGAAGGCGGAGAAG